ATATACATATAAAAAGAGCTGGGGATATGGCTCAGTAGTTAAACACCCCTGGGTTCAATCCCCAGCACAAACAAAACAAAACAAAACAACAGGCGATTTCATATATCTCAGCTTAATAGTTGCCATTTGTTTAAATGAAGAAAACTATGTGAAGAAGAGGTGGGGGGCAGGTATCTGAAGTGTATTCTGGCTCATGAGGAGATGCCACAGGAGCAGCTGTATATATCTGGAATTCAGGGGTGAGGACCTCTCTCAGGAACGCTGGTCAGGCAGGCAGTCAACAACAGCAGTTAAAGCTGAGACTGGAGGAGGTCACCTGGGGCTCACCTATAGATAAGAAGCAGAGGCCTGAGGCCTCCAATGTCCAGATGGGGGTGAGACAGCAACAAAGGAAATGCTGGAGGCCACAACCAGCAAAGAAAGGGCTCCAACCAGGGCAAGCTGGCACAAGGAGAGCGCTTCCTAGATACAGGTGTGTGATATTTCTAAGCTCACTCCTTCTTTGAGGTTTGGTGTTGGGGTGGAGATGTGGTGAGGGGAGAGGATAGGATCATACCTTCCAGCTGACTAGCACCATCAGGGTTGCGACATCTCCTGTTGGATCCAGGCAAAGGGAGTACAGAAGCTGTCATCCTGTTTACTAATGAGGAAACTGAGGCATAAGGGTTGGGTGACCTGGCCCAAGATTCTATCGGTAACAGGTAGAACCAGGACTAGAGGGGCTCTCTGTCTCCAAGCTATCACTGAATTGTGCTGCGTGTTCCTGAGCTCTCCTGACTGCTTCTCTGGGGACACACTGTGACAAGGTCACATGGAGAAGAGTTGCAATAAGTCTTGAGCTTCTGTTTCCACAGCAGCAGGGAAACTGCTGATATGATGACCTTCTGGGAGGGGTCTGCACCTGTGATCCCAGATGCCAGTGGGCCAGCTCAAAACAAACCTCTTGGTGGCATGAGATTGACATCATTACCCTAAGTACAGGTATGAAGATATGAATGGTGTGACTCTACTTTGTGTACAACCAGAGATATGAAAATTGTGCTCTATATGTGTAATATGAAATTAATGCATTCTGCTGTCATATATAACACATGAAAATAAAAAATAAATAAAAAAACAAAAACAACAACAACAAATCCCCTCTTTTCTGATAAGAAACCATTGGATGGAACGAGGAGGCTGTGTCTGGGGGTTTTCCCACCAGTCAGGGACAGTGATAAATTCACTTTGGTTCTAGAGGGGTTAACAAGTAATTTTGGAGACAGAGTAGATTCTGGGCTGGGCCTTTCCACTGATGACCAAATGACCAGTGTCATCTTATTCTGTCTAGTGTCACGCTCAAAGCATTATACTCTCTCCAGGCCTATTTTCTTGCTTTGGAGAAGCTGCTCCTGAGATCAGAGGCCCCATGGGTCAAGCTTGACCCTGTCTTGGGCAGAGATAAACAGGCCTGAAATACATTTCCCAGATTGCAACACTAGTGAGTCAGGCAGGGTCGGACAGCTGCTGTCTTGCAGTCACCCCTGGGCGCACCTGATAAGGAAAAACATGGCTCATTCCGGTGCAGTGGTGCACCGTCTTGTGAGCACACACATATAAACAGACACTCCCAGGCCCGGTGTTGTCTTAGAGTAAATTATTGACATTCTGAATGGCTGAAACACCAGGGGAAAAGGGAGAGAACAAACAACGAGCCTCTGCTAAAGAGGAGCGCCACTTTTCTTAAGCTAAAGCAAGTAAAAGCAGGGTTGCCATTAGGCTCTGCTTTGGGGCACCTTTTGCAACCTCAAGAGCAGGCGTAGGAGTCCTCTGTAAAGAGGACTGTTCTGGAAAGAGGAAGGAAGGATCACAGAGCGGGAGGGAGGAGGAAGTTGGAATAGGGGAGGTAGATTTATGAGGGAATAAATGGCAAAATGCCCAGAGAGAAAAGGTGTATCATAAAAAATATGAATATACTTTGGCCATGGAGACAACTGAAGTTATGACATTTGCAAAAAGATAAAACAAAAGCTCCCCTCCCCATGAATACCTTTCTTCTTCAATGATATGAGGGGACAAATGGGGTATTGATTGTATAGTAATAGTTACACAATAATACCAGCATCATTACCACATCATACCTTGCAATCAACACTTCACATTAACTTTATGAAAGCAGTTTATAGTTTACAAGGGGCTTTCACATTCATCTTTTCCATTTATTCCTTCAACCCACTTGAGTGGGTAAGGCATTATGAGCCACATTTTACAGATGAGAAGACTGAGGCCCAGGGAGGATATATGCAATTAACTGAGGCATAATTAAGAGCAGGGAGAGGCAGCTTTGTCCCAAGTAGTCCAGAGCTAAAATGCTTCCTAAAGACACAGTAACTCTTCTTTAGGATGATTCCTTTCCCATGACTATTCCGTTTCCACAAGCTTGGAGACCACACCTCGCTGCATTTCAAGATACAGCAGTCCCACCTTCTCCAGTGTTGTTCACATATTCTCCATCACTGACACATTGGTTATTTTTGCCCAGGACTTGGATCATAGCAGTTACAGTATCAATGAAGAATAAAGAGCCAGGGAACATGCCTAGGTCCCACTCCCTCATCCTCTTTTTCAAGTATCCCCTCTTTTTGTCTGTTTTGGACTCTATACTCTGTTCATCTACAAATGATGCCTTCTAAACTTGCAACACTGTTCCTCTCAGGTGAGAATGAGGAATGGAGGGTACACAGTCCCTGACCTATTTGTATAGGACACCATAGGCATACTTAACTACCTGCATGGTCAGGCAGGTGTTCTCAAAGTATGATGCCTATTGGAATCTTTTTTTTTTTTTAAATATTATTTATGTATCTTTAGTTTTAGGTGGATATATTAGTTTGTTTTTATGTGGTGCTGAGGATAGAACTCAGTGCCTCATGCATGCTAGGAGAGCACTATACCACTGAGCCACCATCCCAGCCCCTATTGGAATCTTAAAGGCAGTGGTTCTCAAACTTTAGTCTGTATTAGAACCATCTGAGGAGCTTGTTAAAGACAGAGATGTTCAGGTCCCAGATCAGATCTTCTGAATTGGAATTCCCTGGGAAGGTGCCTGGACATTTGTGAACTTAACAAGTTCCCCAGGTGATTGTGGAGTATTCTCAAACTTGAGAACCGCCGTCTTAGCCTTGGAATGGGAGTTGAGCAGGTGAAGGAGAGCGGGAAAGAGGAGGTAGCAGCAACAGAAACCCAGGGAGCTTAGAGAAGACTCAGTGAGGAAGACAAATCCCCACTCCATCTTTATCTCCCCTTAGTAAAAGTGGTCAAATAGAGGGGGTTGGAAGTCTCTTCATGAAGACTTGTCCTACTTCTGACAGATTCACCATGTGCAATAAGAAAGAGCATTGAAAGAAAACTCCTTTTGACTTTTAACTCCTTTAAAAGCAGTAAAAATAGCCATCTCTTTTGGAACACAGAAGGGAGGTTACCAAGGGCTGGGAGGAATTGGGAATGAGGAGTCATTGTTTAATGTGTACAGAGTTTCTGTTTTGATTGATAAAAATGTTTTGGAAATGGATAATAGAGATGGTTAAGCAACATTAAATTTATTCAATGCTGTTTGTGCACTTAAGTATGGTTAAAATGATAAATTTTATGTTACATATGTGTTATAATTTAAAAACCTGGTCTTTTTGAGAGATGGAATCACAGGAGCAAATGATGTACAACTTTAGCAGATTGCTGTTGCTCCAGGTGTGTGTGTGTGTGTGTGTGTGTTTACATAATGGGACCCAACTCATGGCACCTGATCTGACAAAGTACAAACGTACTTATCAGAGCAAGGAAATAATTAAAACTTTTGAAAACAGAGGGCATTGAAAATCTGATCTAAATAGGGGAGATACCTGAATACCCTTTTCTGCTCCCTTTGTCTGGTTGGGCTCTCGGTTCAATATGACTCCTCTGTGCCTTGTAGAACAATATCTCTAATTTCACTGTGCATTGAAGTCACCTGGGGACCTTGTTCAACAGCAAATTCTAGCTTAGTAGATCTGAGATGAAACTCCATCCTTCATTTCTTTCTTTTTAAAAATATTTTTTAGTTGTAGATGGACAGAATACATTTATTTATCTTTATGTGGTGCTGAAGAGCGAACCCAGGGCCTCACACATGCTAGGTGAATGCTCTATCACTGAGCCATAACCCCAGCCCCAACATTCTACATTTCTAACAAGTTCCCAGATAATGCTTACACTATAGATCCATACTGAGGGGACCATGTAAATCTAATCTTGGTTCACCACCATAGCATGCTCAGCTAAGTGATGGCACACAGAAGAAGAAGGTGCTTAATAAATAGTTATTGAATGAATAAAGGAGTCTATTAGGTTGGAACAGGAGTTTGCAGGGCAGAGTAGTCTTTGTGTTGAGCTACAGCATATTTGGGGTATTTCCATCAATCACTCATTTTGTGAAATTACCTCAAACTCTGCAGAACGAAGACGTTAGTACTCAATTATTTCTAGCCTTTGCACCTTGCAGCCTTGACTCTAGTCCTTGAAATAGTGGCCCTATCTGTACAGAGTTTGCAATCTCTGAGGAACCCTTGCCATAGTCCACAATTCCTGCAAACAAATTCTCTCCGCCCCACGAATGAGCAGAGTGAAGGGAACATGCCTGTGTGGGATTTTCCTAGCTTTTGGCACCTGAGTAATTGACGCCTTGGCCTCCTCCAGATCCAAATAGCCTTTTTAACAGCATGTAACAAGGAGGATCGTAAAACAGGTAAATGTAATAATATTCCCATTATTTACTACTATCGTTTATGATGATGATAACGACAGTTAAGCGATGAAGTATGTGGGGAAGTTGGGGGAGGGGGCAGAGTGTTGAGAGGCCGAGAGAAAGAGGAACTACATCTCCCAGAATGCTCTGGGAAAGCACACGCCGCGGCGGCGCCCCACCCCTTCCACGACCAAACACGCCCGTCTGATGACGTCACAGAGGTGACGTCACGGCGCCCAGAGCGAGGCTGGGGTAGAGAGGCCGACCGAGCCGGAGTCGTCCGCTTGTCGTGGAGGCTGCTAGGAGCCCGAGAGAGGGTGAGCGGGCGGGCAGACGTGGGAGCTAGAGCAGGCAGAAGGGAGCGTCGCGCCGCGCCGCGCCGCGCGGAGGAGAGCCGAGGCCTGGCCGCGGCGGAACCACAGCCGGAGAGGGCAGCCCGAGCCGGGCGCCGCGGGGTCCCCACCCCCACTCGGCCGGACAGTGCCCGGTGTTTCCCCGTGCGGGGGGCGGCGGTGGCGGCTGACGGGACCCGAGAGGACCGCAAGGGGTTGCCACCTCCGCCGAGGAGCCGGCGCGGCCGCGGGCTCCTCAGAGCCGGGGCCCCGGGCCCGTGACAGACGGGCCGAGGAAGGGAGAGAGGCGGCGGCGGCGGCGACACCATGTCATCCCCCAGTCCGGGCAAGAGGCGGATGGACACGGACGTGGTCAAGCTGTATCCTTCTTGGAGGGGGAATTCGGGCTGCGTGTGGGGGCGGTGTGAGGATGCCAAGGGCACCCCTGAAACCCAAGAAAGGGCCTTGGGGCACTCGAGGCCACTGTCCAAGACGCCCTCCCTCCCCCAGTGCCTACGGCGGCTCCTTGGCACCTCCCAGGAGTCCAGGGCCTTTTCAGCTCCTCTTTATCTGCAGCACCCCGAAATATGCGTTGCTTCTCTCTCTCTCTGCATCCCCAGAGCCCGTGACTTTTCCTCCACAACGTTTGGACTCCCTAAACGGCTTTTTCTTTCCTTTTTTTTTTTTTTTTGGCAGGGTTAGCCACCTCTCTTTTCATACCGAACCATCTTCAGGGTTTTTCTTTCTTGTTTGTTCACCCTGGATTTAGGTACTCAAGGTAGAAATTCCCTAGAGGGAAGCCTTTCTCTCTTGAGATGCCCCCATTCCTTCTGCTCAGTGCTTCTTGAACTGGGGTAACTAAAGCGACCGACCTCCTTTATCCCTAATTCCTTTCTATATTAGGAAGAGAGTAGTCTGCTCAGGGCCCCTCTTCTAATAAAGAGCTCTGTGTGTTTTAAATCAGAGAGTCCTGTTAAGCTTTCTGATCTCTAGGAGAACCTTCCTGTTTTCCTTTCCACTGACAAAGCCTCTCCCACCCATAGTTGTATGCGGTGAGGACCCCCAGGCCCTCCAGCTAGCCACCCTCCATATTGTGGATCTGACAGCTGGGAGGAAAGAGAGAAAGACGAGCTCCTGGACAAAATAGTCCCTGTACTATCCTTTTGAGCAAAACTCCCTCTGTGAGGGTCAGGCTCTTTTGGACTGCCTGCCCTGTCTTGCCAAGTGACACCCTTTATTTCCTGTCCCCCTCCCCCCAACTTATAAACTCCAGGTTGCAGTGGGAAAGCTGTAACTGATAAGAGTCCTTCAGGCAGTGGTTTTGGTTGGAGGCCAGACTGATTATTTCATGACCAGCTAGAGAAATTCGCGAAGGTTCCTGAGACAAATCAAGGGATTCTTTTTTTTTTTTTTGAGGGAGAATTTAGAGGGTGGGGTGAGCCACTGTTCTGAATAGCTAATCCCTAGGGAGAGGGGGAAGAGGGAATGGGGGGTGGTAGCTTGTGAAAAGCAGTTAAAAAGTCCTGTCTCTTGTTTCTCTTTCTGCTTCACCCCCATCCCCCCTCCATTTCCCCCTGTTGCAGGGTTTTGTTTATATAACTCAAGTTGTTTGGTTAGATTCTTCAGGTGAATTACTTCTTTTATTTGTTACTGTTTTTGATCGACTATTTTATCTCTTTGTAAAGATCAATGATGATTGTCAAATGCTTAGTATGGAATTTGGTAAAGTTTTTAAAAAGTAGTTTTTGTATATGATATGAAAGTGGGGGATGGGAGTGAAGTTGCCTGGGCTCTTGAGATTTTTTTTTCATAATCTTTTCAGGAATAAAAAGGTGTTTTCTCCTTGCTGGGGATAGAAATTGGCTAGAAATTAGGAATACCTGATAAATTTCTAAATCTAGGGTTTCAAGTTTAGAATTTTTTCAGGGGTGGGGTGGGGTGGGAGTAGTAGCAGGGATTAGGGAGCAGCAAATAATAATGTACCAAATATGTCTAGACACAAGTGAAAGCAACTCTTTGAGCTGTTTGTAGCTGTGATTGTTTTGTAAATGTGTGAATGATACTAGTAACGTTGGCTTTTCATAAGGTTGCAGGAAAACTTCTATTACTGTGTGTACATTTTACACAAAGCAGTTTGGGGTTTTATTTTTGTTTAGAAACTAGGAAATGACAGGGTGGCAGAGTCTTGAGTTATTTTTATCTTCAGAGTTACTGTCACACCTAATGCAAATTTCTACCTAAGGGATAATTGGGATAGAGTGAGGGAGAGAATTCCAGGTGTTTTTGATCGATGTCAGAGCCTCAAATTATGTACATATAGAGATTTAAAAAAAAAAAAAAATCGAGGATAAAGAGTGAGGCCTAACTTGACCTGATGCCTTTTCCATACAGTGCCTTTTGTTCATTTAGTAGTTGTGGCATCTAGAATGATTACCGCATTTAGGAGCTGGGGTGTGGGGGGTGGAGAGGGAGAGGAAAACAGACAAAGAACAGCAGGGTGTCTTTTTTTCCCTCCCCCTAAGTGGCTTATTTCATAGCTTATTTTTAGTAGAAGATGAAGAAAGGCAAAGATGCATTGGCCTTCTGTTCTTTCCCCACCTTCCTTCTTGCTGACAAAAGAAAGCTGAGGCGCTTTAAAATTGTAGATCTCTGAGATAGGAGGATAATAGTCTGGGTATTTAAAAGCCAGAGGTTATCTTTATTTTGTGTTTATTTTCTGGTGTAATTTAGTTTGGAAGTTAAAATTTTTCTGCTTTCCTTGTGTGTGTGTGTGTGTGTATGTGTATGTTGTGGGGGTGAGTGATTTTTGTGGCCTCCTTTCTCTCTTGAATTCACATTAGTAGGCCCAAATGGGGCCCACAATTTTTTAGTAAGATATATTTAGTAAAAAATTGAAGGGAAAATTCTCCAACCCATTACTAAAATGAGTATGATTGTGTGAAAGGGCTAAGGATTGGAAATGAAAGATGGTGGAGAGGAAATGGAAAGAAAAGGTCTGAAGGAATTTACTTACTCCTTGGCCCTCACTGCCCCTTGATGATTTCCTTGGTGTAGAGGCTGATAGCTGGTTTCATTGCAATCTCCTGTTTCAGCCCATTTTTGTCTGTCTCCTGAGCATAATTATACCACCAAGATTTACAGCCTGGCAGGGAACCTATATAGTAGGAAAGTAGCGGTGTGGGGGTAGGGAAAGAAGAGGATGTGTAACTAATTGGCCACTGCTTTCTGCCACCTTGCTAGGTTCTTTCCAGATACCATCTCTGATTGTTTTTTGGAGTCAGTGATATTTCTTTTGTGATGGGTTGGGAGGAGGAGAGCTGACTCCCAAGTTATGCAGGGAGTGAGTGTGTTTTGCACGGATGCACTTAATAATCTGCTGGGCGATTATGCTCTGAAACTCTGACTCATTCATTGTTTCCTTTCTGATCCTCTGCTTAAGGGTTGTGCAAACCTCCCTAGGAGCCTAGAAACTGATTTACATGACTTTTGAGTGCTGTAGTAATGTGTCCACATCCAAGAGCTTGCAGCTAGCCCAAATCCTGTGGAATAGTGTGGCCATTTGTTTGCAGAGTCAGGTGGATTGGTGATCCTGTGCTGTTCTCAACCTGGCAACCTGCGAGGTTTTCCATCTTCAACTCGCTGATTTAGATTGCCTGAGAACTGGGACTCCGGTGACCTTAAAGCGTGATTTGCCCTAAAGGAATATCGGTTTAAGTTCTCCCCAGTGGAGGAACAAAGAGCTCAGATTACATGGGTTTCCTTGTTGGTGGGGGTTACTCGTTTCACCCTGTTGCACAGCCCTGGTGATCCTTTTATCTGTGAACCAGTGGCCCCTGCTGAAGGCTAGAGCTGCTTGTTTTGGAAAAGCGTATGCAGGCAAAAGGCCGCAGGCAGAGCTCCTTGCAGCTCATTGGTTGCTCTGTTACTACCCGGAAAAGGAGGAGGGGTGGAGCTACTAAACAGCTGATGGCGTGTGTGACAAGAGTGTGTTTACATACAAAAGAGGTGTGGGGGCTGGGGAGACCTTGTGAGCTGGACCAAAGTGTGTTTTTAAGAGGTAGTAATAGGAAAACCTGACTTGTTAGCGAATAAGAAATGTTCAGGAAAATTAAGACTAGAAAAGCAGATCTGTTTATAATGGAGACTTGGCATACACATATTGGTTACTGTTGTAAGATTTGGAAACTTAGAATACCAAGAGTTTTCAAAGACTCTATTTTTCAGAGAGAGGTCAGTAACAAAATAGGATATGCTACTTCAAATGTACCTAACTGACTCATAGGGAGGGATTCAAAAGTATGTTAGAAATGTAAGCTCCTCTTTCAAAAGCTTCAACAGTGATGAAAGGGGCAGTGTACACTGTACTTACAAATGGCATGAGTTTTACAGAATCACTTTAGGGTTTCTGTAACAAATTTAATGTTTGAACACCCCTTTTGTGCCAGTCCAGACATGGATTTTTTGGGGGGGGTAGTAGTGAAAATTCAGTGCAAGTGGTCATGATGCTTATGGAATTAAAACAACAACAATTTTTTTTTTTTTTTAAATCAGAACAGTCTGTGTCAGGTCAGCTCTGCATGCATCACCTTGCTGTTTGGGTAACTTGTATTTAGTTTCAGAATTTTAATTATGTGGAAAGATTAAGGGCTAGGGGATGTAGTTTATTGGTACTTGTCCACTGTGCTCAAGGGCCCTGCGTTTGATCTTCAGCACCATCACCAAAAAGAAAAAAGTGTGCAGTGGGGTATTTAAAATATACTTTGGAAAACCTGAAACAAAACCAAACATTAAAATGTGTAACCATTTGTTTTTGACTTCAACTTTGGAATTTTGTTGTTAATGGATAGTTACTCTGTCCCTAAGTTGTCTTCGTTACTCTTTAATTTCTGTTCAAAGTATAGAGAATTCTGTAATCTTTTAACTAGCTCCAGTGTCAATTGGGAACCTGCGGTTTGCCTTTTATTTCCTGTGGCCTCTTGTTTAGTGAGATGAAAGATGGAATAGTCTTATGGTCTTCAAGCTAAAAGTAAAAAGATTTGGCAACTCCCAGTGTTGTGAATTTGCTTTCCCTGCTTAGATTTTGGTGACAAATATAACATACTGGTACTTATTTTGGTTAAGCAGGAACCTACATGAGTAAGCATTGACAACTTCAGAACATCTGATTCCTGCAGTACATTTACACACAAGCCTAAAAATTACACACAAGCCTAAAAATTTAGCTTTTAGAGGGAAATAATCTATTGCAGATGTGACCCATGAAAGTCCCTTTCCCTGTTTCTGTGCATGCATTAAAACAATCTACCTTTGTTGGTTTTTCTAGCATTGTGATTTTCAAGCTCCTTCACCAGTGTTTTTCACATATATACATACACCATAC